TTAGCCTAAAAACACTGAAACGGGGCCTGCCTGAAACATGAGTGTGAACAATACAAGAAGATTTAGCATAACAATGCTAACACAGCTAACAATAAAAGCATACACTGTGACTTAGCATGACTTCGTGCTAAGGTTACCTGTAAGTAACCACAAGTAAGTGGCAATACTTTCACTGTTTTTACTTCCAACCATGTTAGCGTGCTAGCTGGCATCACTCATTATTAGCCAGTTTTATACATAGTTTTAATCCCTGATCTCATGAACTGATGGGCCAATTGTCCAGATACAGCGTAACCTCCTTCATAGACCAGGGCTTTCTGTGGTGAATTTCCATTCATAGTGCGTAGAGCTAATATGGACCACATAAGCTTAACATATACATTCTTAAGAAATACCTGATTCAACACCATAGTTAATGCGAGGTTTAGTTGGTACATTAAGCGTAAGAAAATCACCTCTGCTGGACACTGGCCCCCAGGACCACTCCACACTACCCCTGTTATGTAGACATGCTCCCAAGCTGACTAGTGGAGCACTAACCTGAACAGTTTACTGAACACTCCTGATATATCTCTTCAGCTAATTATCAAACCCTTCATCAACTTAACCAGGAGCAGTGAGCAGGGAAAACATCTGAATTAGGGTGAGGGGGAGGGGTGGTAGTGTAACAATAGAAGGGACACCACGGTGTTAGAATATTCAGTATTATTGTCCTTGAGTCCCTTGTATCACATTTCTTGAGTGAATTGGACACCACAGGCCATCCCACCCAATGATTCAAGCCACCAAAGCAGAGACGTGAGTTAGAAGAGGAGCCAATAGAAGAGGCTGACACCTGATACCTGCTGGTCACCCAATCCGCACCTGATACAGCGTCACAGTTGGCCGCTGCTTCAGGGAAGGATGAAAAGGCCTGTAAGCAGTATAACCAACCATCATGCATCATGGACTTCTGGAAAGCCCAGATCAGATAAAATATTAATAGGCAAGTTGACAGCAGTTTTTTGCTGCCACATTCTTCAGTGCTATTTTCATATAACAGAAAAGTCCTGCAAAAGTTTTTAACTGGTAATTCATTGTACTTGCCTTGAATAATTCTTGAATCAATGCCTTACTAGATTTCAAGAGCGACACCCTGGAATGATGCATGGCTACCCTAGTTGTGGAAAGTGAGACAGTCAGCTATCATCAGTCAGCCATTATTATTAAAGCATCAGTAGGTAAAAAATCAGGTAAAAATCTGCCCTCATCTTAATCAGTTCTAAGAGTCTGATGCTGCTGCATTTAATAATTAGCATAGCTTGCTGTGAAAGGCATTTACTCACTAATTTACTCAGCAAACAGGTGAGTGAATGGCCACTGGGTCCCTTCAGAAGTGCTGTTTTGTGAGCTACATTTTGAAGTAGGCTGTTCAATGGAAAGATGAGTTAAATATCAAAAATTAGTCAGCTATAGACATTTATCATGCTAATTCATTTCTTTTTACACTTCAATATGTGCGTGTATTGTAGGTTAAGGGTATACAATGCTGTCAGGCTAGCTTTGCAGTTATTACACTCATGCATAACCTGTAGTGAATGCAACCTAAATTAGTAACTTCTATGGTCTGTTCATATGAAATTTCACGTTAATACACTAATACTGTTTGTTTTCCCACAGTGCTGCCACAATAAAATCTCTGGGTCTTACCTGGCCCAAAAGTTCTAGCTGTGCCCCTGTCCCTGCATTAGCCTCTCATGGTCTTATAATATATTTGCCCGTTCTGTTCATCATAAGCAATAAAATAGATAGATTGTGCCTATGTCGAAAAAAATGTTGAAAAATACTATTATGTGGTCTGTTTTGATATGTCTGGGGTCAGTCACAACAATTTGTAACTGCTCCCATCCTACCACCCATGACAGAACATCATGTGCTAGCTAGACACACTGACTCTGACACATGCTAACCATGTCACTTAGAAGTCAACAAAACAATGCTTCAAACTAAGTAAGTTTTGGTTCATTCATACCAACGTTTAGGACAGTATGATGAAAATACAACTCATGAAAAAAAAATTCATATCTCCAAAAGTTGTTTTTCACTAAATGCAGCAAAAGCAGATGTTGAAAGTGTCTTCTTTCTTCCTGGCAGGGAGGGTCTAACTGAACATGTATGATTGTCATCGCTCTAGCATGTTTCTAATTGGAGGAATAAGATTGGTTGCAATTGTTCCATGTTGCAGCTGTCCCCAGTCTCCTTTACTCCAGGACCAGGATTGGGAACATATGATCTAGTAAAACAAGTAAGGTGCAGCTGTGTAGCTGTCCACCTAAAAACTTTTCACATTGAAAATGACTATATAAATATATATATATCGCTGCTGGTCAGAACAAAGTCTCGTATCTCCATTCTCGTCATTTTTCAGTTTTCGACATAATTAGAAAATGCCTGTTGCCCTTCACATTGCATGTAAATTTCATGATGAATGGACCAAAAGAAATGGGAAAAAAAGTCTGGTTTCACTGACTTACATTAAAAGTAAAGTATGTTTTTTCTTTCTCCTTTTCTCCAATTGGTTTTGATATATATATATATATATATATATATATATATATTGCCTTAAATAAAGAGAAAAAAAGATGCAAAAATGATGACTTCACAACAAAATTACAAAAAGGGGTCAATGGTTATTCAATAAAAACATAAAACGTGTGCAATAAAATGCTAAAGAGTCTAACAAGGTAACTAATTCAACAGTGCTTCTGTATTTGTCTAATTTTGGTACAGTTACATAATAATGTATTGTAAATAACACAATATTTTATTACACAACTATTTAAATGATGATCTGTCCAGGTTTGAAGATGAGTTTCCACTCTGTTATAATAGTACTTTGACCATAACCCTGCTCCCATCTGCAGTACGTCTATACAGGAAGTCAGTCTTGAAGCACAGGCACCTTTCTCCAGCCTTTAAAAATAGCCAGTAATTACATTTCAGAGTAAAATTAAAAATAAATGATTTCTGGTTTATTAATGACTGCCGACAAGTCATGGTGGCCAATATAATATTAAAAACCTCACCTAGGAGAGAGCGTGTACACACACCTGCCTGGAAAAAAAAAGCACTTTTTGCAGGTTGTTTTTGGCCATACAGCGTATTTATGAAAGGTCGTCTCTGGATGAATGTAAAGATGTCAAAGGAGGTCAATTTCTTTTTCATACCAACAGCACTGCACAAAGAGAAGTAAGCCAGGTGAGAGAGAGATATGGAGAAACTGAGAGAAAGAGAGGGACATTGAATAGATAAAAGATTTTATTGTCACTTGTTTCCTCTATTTATTTAAAACCACATCCTCCACTGCTTACAATCTATTGTAGAGCATTCAGAATACTTGCCAACATCACCCAAACACTGACCTATCCATGCTTTAATCATTTATACACTCCTTCATTGCAACTGTTTTTAGGTTGAACAGGATTTACAGAACTTTGGCAAAAGTCTCACTCAAACCTAATTAGAAACTGTACACTGCCAAAAAATATCCTTGCAAGTGAAATAATCGTAACTCTAGTCAGTATATCTAATATTTTGCATTATGTGATTGTCATAAGAATGTTAAAGATTAATAAAATTATTTTTAGATGCTTAATGGATTTTATCTAGTGAAACTCATTTTATTGGCAGATAATTTTGCTTGTTTAAAGCATTATTTCTTGAACAAAGCAAAATTATCTGCCAACAGAATTAGAATTATTTGACTTGGTAAAATTGTTTTGACACATTGTCTACTTGTGAGCGTCTGAATGTATTGTGTATATATGTTTTTTTGGTGTGATGGCAATAAATCAAGCAGTCACTCCCATCTTTGTGATTTATACTGAGATTTCTAATTCCATGTGAATCTGTCATAAACATTGTGGAAGTCCTGTGGTAAAATTATATTATGCTACCTCCATGTACAACTAATCGCATAGTAGTTACATTTAAAGCTACACTATGTAAGATTTGGGGACTTGGAGACCTCTCTGGTGGAAGTGTGTAATTCCGTTAATATAGTATTCAAAGAGAGAATCTGGTGAAAGATGTGTCTTCTGAGAATGTAAATGGAGTTCACTTTAACTGTGGTAGAATTTATCACTAGGCTGAATATAAATCTTGCTCTTTTTGACCTAGCAACAGTTGATATGAAACAACTCGGCCATACTCAGTCAATTACTTACAGAAAGTTACAAAAACCTCTTTATATAAACAGTACCCTTCCACCCAAAGAAAGGGCCAGATACATAGAGATGCTAAATCTGATTGGACTCCCTCAGTGTCCCTTTTCATTCCCAAAATCAGTGTGGAAAAGTGACCCCACAGAGTGGCCAGCCCTCAATATACATATACATATACAATTACCAGATTGAATCAGGAGGTAGGCTAAACTTTTCGATATTGTCATCTAGATAGTTAACACTGTGATCAAAATGCTCAAGTCTGTAGCCTAGGAGACCAGGGCACAACCTAACACACTTTGGGTTTTGTTGAATACCTATAAAAAATATTTAAGCTGGAACAATCATATTTTTATATAAGCAACACATACATCTCTGCTACAAACGAACACTTGAACTTTGTTCCTAGCACCTAACGTTCATGTACAATTCCACCGAAAATGACAGGAAGAGCAATGCTACAATTTAGCCCATGGGTTAATTGTAACACACAGTTGGTTAGTTGTAACACTTGCTAGAAAAGTCTGATGAATTAGTGCAAACAAAGTTCATTCAATATAATTCTGTGTTATATTTTATAGCCATACTGCATTATATATTTTATATATCTGCATCGTATATCTATCTATAAGACAGTCAGACAGCTCAATCGATGACACACACACACACACACACACACACAGACATCAAATTGTATATATAAACTGACATGAAACTGTCAAACAATTACAAATTTATTTTTTACAAATTTATTTAGGACATATAAGGAGCAAATAAAAACATCACACATCAGTAAAATATGGCACACTGTTCTAAAATCTGTGTAAATGTATGGAACAACAAGACAAAATTTACTTTATTTGTCTTTGTGTTAAAGGCAGCTTAGTTGTAACACCGTGTGACAACTAACCCTGCAGTACAGAGGCTGTATTAATTTGTGCCCCGCGTTAAGTTGTTCACCGCGCTCCCCTACATGTGCGGTTACAATTTGATGGCCTGACCCCAAACTTACAATAACTCGAATCTTAATCCTTAATGACCTAGATACCCTTATATGGCCTAGTTCACTGTATCTGTACAAATGTAAAATCACAGTGAGACCTGAGAATTTCATGATCAAGTACAGGCACAACCCTCGTGATGTTCCATACAAAACGATCACAATAAATTAACTGTTAAAACATGTTAAAAATATTTATTTTAAATTACTTTGACAGCTGTGGGGCTTGACTTCATAGAGCAATGTTATTAAGGAAGTCCTCATTTTCCACTTCTTCAAAGGTCAGCACAGTGGGCGGAGCCTCAGCTTCTGTGCGCAGCCTCCTTTCCAGTGCAGTGTCCTCTGGGCTGAGCTCCTCACCTTTAGTGAGGACATACAGGAAGTAGTGGAAGCTGTCTCCGTAGTGATAGTGGTTGATGGACCACCTGTACTCGGTGCGAGCGTACAGTCTCTTGCGGAAATGTGGTTGGGCGAAGGTCACCGACACGAAGCGACCCCCCGGCTTCAGGACTCGACTGATCTGCAAATAAAGAAAGAAAAAAAACATCTCTGTCACCAGGCTGGTAGAAATACAATAAACTTATTCATTTAAAAAAGTAGACCAACATCATCATCATTCACATGACAACTACTTTGTATCCAAAGTACTTTGGATTTAGGTTAGTAAATCCAACCAGCAGAGCATTACCATTCAATTTTTTGCATATTTGATTTGAACAGGAAAGTTTTCCTGCAGCTTAAATGGCAAAAAGCCACATGAAGTCCAACTTTTTCCAGTCAAGATTCAAGTCACAATACAAATTCAAATTGAATCTTTGGTCACGCCACTCAGTTTGAACAGTCAGATCGGACGTCATTTTTGTTCACCACTGGGTGCGCCGTGCTTCCTGATATCAGAATGTGCAACAAGAGGCGTTAAATTACTTGTTAATATTACTTTTCCCACCTCTATAGTGCACATGATGTCATTACAGCCATTACAGTCATTCTCGGGAAAACGAGAATTTTATGAATGATAAATTGTGTTTAGGGCTAGAACTATTTAATATTTTCGTAGCTGTGTGCTACTGTTGAGAAGCTACTATTTGGCTCGATAAACATTTGTTTCACCACGTCTTCTGCTGCTGCTGCTTCTTCTTCTTATTATTTGTTTTATTTTTTCCTGTATTCCATTTTTTTCTTTCTTTTTCTTCTATTGTTTTTATTGTTTTGTGCTAACTATCCAATATTATTACATTTTTTGCTGTCTTTTTTGTTAAGTATTGATTCTTTTAGAATTTTTTTATTTCTCGTAACAAACTGATAACAGGAGCAACATCATATTGGATTTGCTAGTTCTGAAAAGATTCCAGTATGGTCATTATTTGTCTAGGAGATGACTTTGTTATCTCTGTTTGTTATTGGTTATTTTCTTCACATTAGGCCTTATTTTGCTGCTTAAAATCTGGGTAGGTTGAAAATCTATTTGCATTATATGCAGTTTAACTAAAAAAAAACAAGCATGATTCACAAAAGCAGGCCCTTAACAACAACATACTTTTAAGAATCCTAAAGCACTCTATGACTGGAAGTAGAGAAAAAGAAAGTAGCAGTACAACTTCTCCACAACGTGATTGTGGAAACCTGAACATAACGGACATGCAAAAAAATCTATTAACGTCATATTATGACCATTACTATTATCCAGCAGAGGCGTATAATCCATTAACCATTAGCAGAATGGGACACATTTCCTCAAAAATACATTCAGCAGCACAGACCGAGTACTCAACCGAATACTGTACAGTCAGCTTCGCGGGAGAACTGTGTGTGTGTGTCTCACGTGCGACTGCATGCCATGAATCATCTGGCTTGAAGGACTGATAACTCACACCTCTAGGTGAGAAGAGACAAGAGTGTCTGTGTGTAAGGTGTAAGTGGGAGAAAGAACAAAAACAGGAGAAAAGCAGAGAGAGAAATAGAGCAGTTCTCAGCATCTGGTAAAAGACAGAAAAACGTCAGGTGGCAGAAAACTAGGTTCCAGTAGAAAGTCCAACATACTTGTAAACTGTACAGCATATTCTGTATTGAGTTTTAGGTCAAATCTTAGCCTTAAATCTTGGGTTGAACCAAGATGCATCCCAATACATTACAAACCTACCCGACCCATTGCAGACCAGACCTGGGGTCGGCAAAACTGTCCAAAAGTTCCCACCAAAAAAACTCAACATTACCAATGACTGCGCTTGCTAAAGTACTGTAGCATAGAGCAGTGTGGTATACTGGTATGCATAAATGTAAAGGTTTTGCAATTTATGCACGCTACAGTACTTTTCTGTTAGATTTTGAAAGTTGCTCGGATTCACAAAACAATTCAGATTTACACGTTATCCCATTCCAACTCCTCACACATCTGTGGGCATGTTAACAGAGCCTTAAAGTCGACGTGAATCAGAAATCATAACACACTTTCCCTCATACCATGACATATTTCTGAGTTAAAGGTAGTACCAGTGAGAGTCTCTGAGCTAAGTGAGAATTTCCGCTCGATGATAGTTGGGGATGTTGGCAGGGGTAGGACAAAAATGGTATTTGTGGGTTATTTTATTTTTGGTTAATATTATTTTTTATTATACGTTACTCACTGCAAAAGCATGAAAACATTTGCAACTTCTGCCTAACCTGAACAATAAGTGACACAACTGCAGTGTAGGGAGTGACAGTTTTTCTTGTTTTTGTAATTGAAAAATTCTGTAAGAACATAAATAATAATGCACTCCCACACGTGCCATCTTCTTCATTGCTACTACTGTCGTTTACTAAAGACCTTGTATAGAAGACGAGTCCTCCTCAGCATATAATGCTGCACCAAGTAGCTTTATATTAACACGGATTGTGGCTAAATGGCTACCTTAGCTTTTTATCATATGCCAATATCAGAGGTAACAGTGACTGTTAGAGCTAGGTCTTTAATTTGGGCCATAAACGTAAAAACTTGGTAGAAAAATAAAGAAAAAAAACTACCTCAACAATCATGCTAACTTCTGCAAGCGTTCGTATAGGATTCTAGTAGTTTGTTAGCGCTAAGCTAACAGTGATTCACAAGAACACTTTCTGACAAGGCTAAAGTTAGCTTATCATTTGAATTTTTATTCCACCTTAAACAGTGCAGTAGCATATAGGCACCAGAATGTATCCGCTGCACTGATTAAGGTGAGCATTTCATGTTTTACTTGAAACTTGTGACAGACATATTAGCATAGTTTACCTTGTAGCAGTTTCACAGAGACTTTTTCAGTAGAGAGAAATGAATGCTGTATTAGATCACAATAGATTCTGGGCAAGTTCCGCTCCTGAAGTCTACCTTTTGTGTTGACTCGATCCCTCATTGCTCAAAGGAGTTATTTAAGCTAATACAGTAACAGAATGGCCTTTAAGACGGCTTCAAAGAAAGTACAGTATACAGTATTCTGACACTGTTTTTGTTATTTAATACACTTTCTGTGCATAAATATGAACAAAAAAGTATTAACAGGAAAAGTGATAACATTAATACTTTGTAGTAGTAACATTATTGAGACATTTACGGTAACTGGCTTTTTGGAGCATTGTGGTTCAATTTTGGCCCATTCTTCTTTTTGCAACCCTTCTTTAATTCTCCAAGGTTCCCCAAGGGTCCCACTTCTCAATTTCAATTACAATTTTAATCCTCCATACATTTTCCATGGGATTCAAATAAGGGGACTGGCTAAGCCATGGCTCTTGGGTGAACTTGTCTATTAAACTCTCCTTTAATGTGTCCCGTTGCATTACTCCATTCATGTGTCCTTTGATAACATTAAATGCTCCATTGCTGTTTGCAGAGGAGCTGCCCCATATCATGATGCTCCCACCACCATACTTCACTGTGGGTCAGGCGTTCTTGAGATCATATGCACAACCCTTCATTCTTTCTGTCATAACAAACTGAATTATTGACAGAGCTTTTTCTATTCAAGTGTTGTTTAATAATGTTAAATTTCAGAACTGTAGGAAACTCCTTCACCTTCACCATTATGCATATGAGTTCATACTTTTTTGTTCTGATTTATAAGTACCAAGTCAAGACATCATGTGCTTGAATTTTAAGATAGATATAGTGGATGTATATACTGGAAGTTTATTAAACAACAAAAACAAGTGTCTAAATACTCTCACTGTATATGCTCATACTTACCTCTTCAAGGTATTTTAATCATGTTAAAAAAGTGTATTTGGTTCACTTTTGATTTCTGCAACACATTCCAAACTGTCATCCATTTACATTTTCTTTGCACAGCATTTCTGTGTCCTGGTCCCAAAGCACCCTCAACACAGCAAAGTCACCCGTGCAAACCCAACACTTACACAGAGGTGTCAAACTATAGTCCTCAAGTTACAGCATTGCAGGCTTTCCAAGCTTTTAACACATTTGATTGAACTCAACAGCTAATTAATAAGCCCTTCATTAGTTGAATCAGCAGGGGAAAAAGCCAAAATGTGCCGGAGCACTCCAGAATCAGAACTGTGAAACACTATTAGGACAATACACAACTTGTGATGAACTGCAGCGCATTTTAGGGCAGGAGTGTGTTGCTGATGGCTGAGTGTGCTGCTTCGTTGGCCTAGTGAAGAGGAAACATCAGGGAAACAGCCTGCAAACACGAGCTGCGGTCTACAACACATCCTACATGCATGAGTAAACATAACACGCAGAGCGAGCGAGAGAGCGAGAGAGAGAGAGAGAGAGAGAGTGTGTTTATTCAAACAGTGCATATGGGATTGCATAAAAAACAATCAATGCCTGACCTCAACCCCAGAACCATCCCTAATCCTAAAGTCTACGTGAAATCTAAACTGCCCTTGTTTACCATGTTAGTTCATGTCCCTGGTCATACAGCGCTGTGACAAAGTATTTGCTCACTAACACTAAACACTAAATGTAATAACTGGTTGTACCACCTTTTGCAGCAACACTTGCAACCAAACACTTGTAATAACTGGAGTTCAGTCTTTCACATCATTATGGAGGAATTTTGGGCCACTATCCTTTGCAAAATTGCTTTAATTCGGCCACACTGGAGGGCTTTTGAGCATGAACTGCTTGTTTAAAGACCTAGCACAGTACCTCAACAGGGTCCAAGTCAGAAACATGTTTTTTTTTATTCAGGTTTACTCAGATTGTCTTTGTCTTGCATACATTTTTTTTAAGGATCTGAAAAAAATGTGACAAATATGCAAAAATGCATCAGGACGGGACAAACTTTTGCATGATTCATGATACCATTTGCCTGCTTCTAAAATGTCTTTTTTGACACTTTCGATTACATCATCGAGCAACAGCAGACGGGGAAAAATAATATTACCTATAATCTTATCATGTTTCACTGCCCTACCTATCAATTGAAAGCACTCATCTACTTCAGAGACCCTCTCTTACACTGTGTTTCACTCAGAAATATATCATATTCAACATAGAAATCAGATTTTTGGCCATTTCTGGACATATATCATAAAGGGTGA